TGCAACTTCTTCATTCTCCCAGTCAAAAGTGTGCTTTGGAAAGTTTTTGGGGTGTCATCTCAAATCATTGTCAATGACAAAGATCTGTCTGTTATCTTATTATCTCGATGTAATAACCACCATCCCTGTGTGTCTATTACTCTGTCCAGTAAGAAATGTAATGAATGGCTGGGTGTGCCACCTTTGCTGGACTTTCTGAAACAGCAAGCTGATATATTGCAAGTCTTTGAAAGGAGTCAAAATGAAAGTGTGAAAGATGCCAAAGTGTGTGGAATGAAAATTGGTGATTGGCAGCAATTAAAAGAAACCTGCATTTTTAGAAGGATACAGAAAATTTTGCCTTGTGCATTAGGCAAGGTATTATAAATAAAGTCACTGCAATCCATGACTATTTGAACAGCATATGGCATAAGTATAGATGGAAATGTATAGAATCTGCTTGGTTTGCTCATGACAACCAACAGCACGTTATCTGAATTACTAGCTGCAATGGTCAGGATTATTCTGTGAATGATGTCAAATGGTACATTTTTAGATTTGGACCACCCAGGGATTCATTGTTCCACACAGTCTGTTTGTTTGCATGTTCCTTTGCCTTACTGGCTGCCATGCTGTATACACGCCGATCGCCACGATCCGACAGCGGCGAAGGGTCCGAAGGGGCCGGGACGGCCCGCGTGCCGGGGGGGCCAGGCCTTTGGTGCTGCCCCCTACCGGCCGGCCGGTCGGACGGCCGGCCGGCCGGCCGGCAGGGGGCCGGCGCCACTCAGTCAGTGACTGCCGCGCGGCGCGACTGCCGCCAGTGCTTCCTCCGTCCTTGCTCCGTCCGCCTCGACCGCACCGTCAGACAACATGTTGGAGTGTGAAGAATGTGAGTGGTGTGACCTGCTGACGTGAGGCCCGGGCCGGGGCCGGGGTGCTGTCATATCACCGTACGCGGCATGGCTGGCGGACTGCTGTCATGCCGCCGTACGCGGCATGGGCTGGCTCTGAGCTCTCGCCGTATGCGTGGTGGTGGAAACATTCTATGATGTGTGTGTGCGGGGAGAGGTGAAGTATTTCTAAAAAAAACATGTTGAGCGGCATCGTGATCCGTGATGTGGATTCTCAGATGTTTACCTTCGATGCTCGCGCCACCAGGTCTCCCTGAGTCTCACTGCCTTATTCAGGTTTACTCGTCACATCAGCGTGCTCTGGTCCTCGCAATCAGTGACATTTCATTTCACGTTTCTTGATGGGATAGCATCGGCGTAATAGCGCAAGCGGTTGTTAGGCTGCTTGCTTTGTGCATTAAGTGCGTTTTACGAGAGTTGATGTCATGGGGTTGTCTGAACTTAAACGTAGCTTTTTTGTAGGACCTTGGGTGATGAATTCGTTGTTGAATAGCTACCAGCAATGGACGGAGGCTCCGGAGCTTTACCCGATTTCCATTCAATAGCCGGCGCTTCGCTCATTAGCTCAGTAATTTTGTCACATAGTGGCGCTTAGCCGGCCACTTTGACGTGCAGTTATGATGTCGCTCTAGCTTTGCGGTGGTTCGGGGGGGGGGGGGGTGGGTGTTGGATGGGGGGGGGGTGATCGTAAAAGTAAGGAGCATTTCAGCATTGGAAAAAGTTCCGCCCAATGGTGTGCTTTTGGGCTTCTGGCAGCAATGCCGCCTTAAATATGGGAGACTATCCGCTGCGCGTGGGGCAGATGTGCCGTTGACGCAGGACTGCGCGTGGGGCAGGTGTGCCGTTGGCGCAGGACTGCGTGTGGGACAGATGTGCCTTTGGTGCAGGACTGCGCGCCTGGTGCCCGGTGACCCAGGTCACCGTCTCCGGCTGTAGACACCGAGGAGGCAGGCTGTGCCACGCTTTTTTCAGTTTGGGCGGTTTTTGGCGACGCATCAAGGGCGGTGTTAGTGTTTCACAGTCGCCATCACGTACGGCCTTTTTAAAAGTGAGAGGTTCTTAAGATATGGCGAGCTTGACCTTTCCTTTTTGCATGTTACATGTCGTTTGTGTATTGCAGGAAAGTTTTGTCCGATCATTAAATCTTCTATTCGGCTTCAACGTTGTGAATGGTTGCGCTTGCCCGATTTTCCTCCTCATCCGAGCAGTCGCGTTGGCCACGCATTGTCCGGCCATACTGCTGTCGCCACCAGCACCAGGGGAAGGACGAGTCAGTGCACCTTGCAGGGCCGGTTGCATACGTTGCATAAATTACGAATGGTGGGTGCGCCTCTTGCATGGGCAGGTCCTAATTTTGGAGTGGTCCCTTCCAGAGGAGCTCCAATATCTGATTGTGGTTGGGCTGCATGTCAACGTTTGTGAATGCTAGCGTCATTAAAGCCGCAGCTCTGCGCTCGAAGCCGCCAAGTGAAACTAACCGGCGTGTGGAGACTAAACCTGAGGTAAAGAAAATGATACAGATGTTTTCAGACGAAGAAATAATGGTCCTCGTCATCCAGCCATTGATACCAGAGTGTCTGAAAGGTCTACATTTGAGTTTTCCGGTAGCTCTCAGGGTACTACTCTGAAAAGGCGGAGACAAACACTGGGAGCAAGGCTCCCAAAAAGATCCAGAAGTCTACCAATAACCAAAGCATGTTTTTACGGCCCAACCCGACCCATTGCCGAGCTACTAGAATAGTGTCCAAAAGGATTTGGGAGTTATGACGGGAGACAGTGGCGGCTGGGGATGAAGGATTGGGGCCGGGGAGATCAGAGTGGTGGCTGATGGGGAGGGAAGTGGGATCTGAAGAAAGGAAATTTATGTCTAGGGAAACGAAAATAACGTCAGTAGACGGGAATAATGTCTGGGTAGATGAATGTAGCCGCCGGGGAGACAACAGTAGCGGCTGGGAGGAGATGAGAGGCAGTGGCTGAGTAAGCGATGATGACAGATGGGGGACGGAAGCGGCGGCCGGGACGATCGGTGAGCGATGGCTGGACGCCGGCGGCCGCCTGCCGTCCCTGGGCGCCATGATCGCCGCTGTGGGCTGCTGTGGCTGACACCGAGCGTTCGCCGCAGACGGCCAGATGTCGACGGGCGCCCGCAAGGTGTCGTTCGACGGCGGCGTGAAGGCGGAGCAGGACTCGACCGTCGGCGTGTCGGCCACGGCAGAGCCGCCTCTGCCGCGGGTGAGTACCGCACCGCCGCTCTCGTCACACGCGCACCGGCTGCATCCGACGCGGTCGGCGAACAACGGCTGGCGGTTGGCACACTGACGAGCGTCGCAGGAACCGCGACGACAGCTGTGGCGGACGGGGATAACGGGCTTGAGCCGACCCGGATGGTCGAGCTGAGCTGTCGAAACCCTGGCAATGAAGGGGGAGGGGCGTGCCAAGACGTGAGATGTGAAAAGCCGCGAGATCACTACGGGTTTGGTATGGAGGAGAGAATCCTTGAGCACGTGTCCAGTATTGGGCGTGCCCTCTTTTTTCGGAGTCGAGTACTGAGATCGCACTGAGCGGGAATGTATGGTCTTCGCGGACGGCTGCTGCTGCGCTCGGATGGCTACAGCCGGGCGGTCGCCAGGGACGTGGCGCGCCGCTGGGCACGGTCACAGTATGCAGGGCAGTGAGTGACGCCACCCTCGGGGCGCCGCCATGATCAGCACTGGCCCGGTGTCGTGGCGGGCTAGCGGCCGGTTGCCAGGCGAGCGCGTCTGCCGTGACCTCGCCGCCGCCGCCGCCGCCGCCGCCGCCGCCGCCGGCTGAGGCCGAGGAACGGCACCTGATCGCCGCGGCCGACCGGCGTCGCCGCTACTGCCGAACGTGACCGGTGTCGCCGCTACTGCCAAGTGTGGCCGTTGTCGCAGGTGCTGCCGAGCGTGGCCGGTGTCGCAGGTACTGCCGAACGTGGCCGGTGTCGCCGGTACTGCCAAGTGTGGCCGTTGTCGCAGGTACTGCCGAGCGTGGCCGGTGTCGCAGGTACTGCCGAGCGTGGCCGGTGTCGCAGGTACTGCTGAGCGTGGCCGGTGTCGCAGGTACTGCCGAGCGTGGCTGGTGTCGCAGGTACTGCCGAGCGTGGCCGGTGTTACCGGTATTGCCGAGCGTGGCCGGTGTCGCCGACACGGCCGAGCGTGGCCGGTGTCGCAGGTACTGCCGATCGTGGCCGGTGTTACCGGTATTGCCGAGCGTGGCCGGTGTCGCCGACACGGCCGAGCGTGGCCGGTGTCGCAGGTATTGCCGAGCGTGGCCGGTGTTACCGGTATTGCCGAG